AAAAAAATTTTTTTTGATTAGTCTCTTATTTGCCCCCAAGTGTTACATACCATCTCGGGCAGCTTCAAACTTAAAACACTTACTTGTCATTGTTTTTGACAAATGCCCTCTGTGAAAGGAGCTTTGTACTTGGAGAGCTCCCCGTCAGGTTAAACAGACAGCCTTGAAAGTGGGTCTTCCTTAGCACACTGGTTAGGTGGAAACCAAAAAAATGGGTCTTCCATGGAACCAACAGCCAGGTCAAATAATGACAGTTCTTTGGGAATGAGGCTTTGAAAGAGCCCCAATTCCATTCTACCAGCTACCTCTGCTTTCAAGACTACCTTGTAACTAGAGAATGGGGGATTGGACTAGGACAAGTTAAAATGCTACAAAGCTAGTTGTTTTGAGATTCAGCTATTTTTCTCAAATAAATACTCCCTGGTTTGCTATAAGCCTTTGATTAGTTTCCAGAGTTCTGAAAAAGTTGATTCTGACATTTTTTGCCAGTTCTTTCATTGCTCTTATGAAGGAGAGTTGTTTTTCGCTGACGTCTAGTGCATTACACAGGTGAGACATTAGGCACTAGGACAGCAGCCTTCCTGAATCAGCAGTGCCAAGCTTGCCCAAGAGCTACTGAGTCAAGAAGAAGCAGGTGACATCCCTCCTGAGTGGAGATATACAAAAGGGGAAGGAGAGAGGAGGAAACCATTACTCTGTGATCATCTGCATACTGGTGCATGTGTTATCTTATTTAAGCCTCACTACAACCTTTATGAGGTAGGAGGTATTATCCTCATTTTACAAATGAGGGAATAAAACGCCACAGGCCACAAAGCTGCCAAGTGACATACTTAGGATTCAGTTCTGGGAAGGTCATTCTCTTTTCACCATATTATCCATTCGTTGGCTCGTCACCTTGTGACTGCTACATTGAATCATGCTTTCTCGTTTTGTCGTCACCCAACCCTTTTTTTTTTTTTCTTTTTTCTTTTCTTTATTTTTATTTATTTATTTTTGAGACAGGGTCTCCCCCTGTCACCCAGACTGGTGTGTAGTGGCACAGTTTTGGCTCACTGCAGACTTGACCTCCTGGGCTCAAGCAATCCTCTCACCTTAGCCTCCCAAATAGCTGGGACTACAAGCATGTGCCACCACGCCCAGCTGATTTTGTTCATTTTTTGTAAAGAAGAGGTCTCACTATGTTGTGCAGCCTGGCCTCAAACTTGTAGGCTCAAGGGATCCTCCTGCCTGGGCCTCCCAAAGTGCTAAGATTAGAGGCGTGAGCCACCACACCTGGCCCATTCAACCCCTTTAGGTAGATTTTATTATTCCCATTTTACAGAAGAGGAAACAAGCCCAGGTGATAATGTAATTGGACAGAGTCACTTCTGCTGGACTCCTTCACCCATGCTTTTACCCAAAATGCGGCACTGCCTCAGTAGGCCTAGGATCGCCACACATCCTCTCCTGCTCCTCTGCTTCTGGGGACTGGTGTGTGCTATTTCTTAGCTAGGAAGCCCTTTGTATGTGGTATGTGAAGTCCTAGAATGACCAAGGTCAAAATAAATCTTCCCGGCTCCCCATGTCTTGGTGTATAGCAGAGAGAGCACTAGTTGTGGAATTCTGGCTTGGCCACTGAATCTGGCTCTCAGACAACTTGTACCTTTTACAGCTTCAGTTTTTCTTATCTATAATTGGCCTTCAGAATAGGGTTTGCAAAGAAGAAAGTATATGTGTTTTACTTATTTCTTTTAAATTTGTATATCTTAAGATGAATTTATAGTGGTTAATGTACATAATTTGTTAGTAAGCATACATACATGGGATGTGTCTCTTATTAATGGAGTGCCTCATCAAAGCAGCTGGATAACCACTGGCCTATGAAGTAAGGGATTTTGACTATAATCTGTTTCAGTGCCAATACTCTCATAATTTATCAGAAAAGCTTCTTGCATTTGGATTGAAAATTTAGCAGTGTTAACTCTTTGTGTCCTGTTGACCTTGATATTTTTGGTTATCTTTCCCTTTTTTTTTTTTTTTTTTGAGATAGAGTTTTGCTCTCATTGTCCAGGCTGGAGTGCAATGGTGCAATCTTGGCTGACTGCAACCTCTACCTCCCCGCAACCTTCACCTCAGGTTCAAGCAATTCTCCTGCCTCAGCCTCCTGAGTAGTTGGGGCCACAGGCATGTGCCACCATGCCCGACTAATTTTGTATTTTTAGTAGAGACAGGGTTTCTCCATGTTGGTCAGGCTGGTCTCGAACTCCCGACCTCAGGTGGTCTGACCACCTCGGCCTCCCAAAGTGCTGGGATTACAGGCGTAAGCCACTGCGCCCAGCCTGTATCTTTCCCATTTTTCAAGTGTTTTCCCTTATTGTAATCACTTTATGCAGAGACACATCCTCCTCTTTGACAGTGCTGTGGTGCCTGTGGTTTCCAGAAGCTGGGTGTGCTGTGTGTCAGTGGTTTGAGGAAGTCGCTCCTGGAACTGACAAGAGGAGGCAGAGTAGTCATTGCCATTTTTCAGCTTAGCAGGCAGGATCAGGGACCCCACCTTGTTATCTTTGCCTTGAACCACATTTAGAGTAAAACACCAAAGCCCTAACTGACCATGATCATGGCAATCTGATCTTTATGATCATGGCCAGACTATTCTCAGTCTTTACCCTAAGATATCAATCACTGTGTGACAACCTAGACCTAAGGGTGCACTCTGGGTAGTAAAGATGATTAACTCTCCCGAAGGAAACTAAAGAACCCTGGACCACACGAATCCCTGCTCTCTTCCTGTAGGCTAAACCTCCCAAGGCTCCAGTCCCTGTGAGGAGGCTCTGCCCTTCCCAGGGTTCCAGGCTCCACGCTGGGAAGTGCACACAGTGCTCTTCCGTGTCTGTGTGTGATCCCTTTTCCCCCTCCTTGCATAAACGCTGTCCCTTTCACCATAAAAGAGTTCTAAGTAATTATTTACTAAAGATGGCATAATGGCTGTCACAGTCCCCACCAGTGTGACGTGTGATACAACTGATGGAATCAGTTCAACAAAAGCAATAACATTTTATTTAATGTACTACAGAGAAAGACAAAATGCTACCAATCAAGCTATCACATACCACCAATTATAAGATGCATTGTGATTTCAGATATTAAAATGGGGAAATGTCTTAAGATCTGTGGAAAATGGTAGCTTCCTTTCCCACATCTCAAGTGGGAGAGCAGAAACTGGACAGACTAGAAATGCCAGGGGATAGCTGACAGCCTGACAGGATGAGCAGATGTGGAAGCCACAGGTAGCACCAAGATGTAGCAGCTGACAGGGACCAGACAAAGAGCGCCTTCTAGAACAAACCCTCTTTTATTTGAAATGTTATGGAATTAGTCCGAAGTTGAAAGTGCTACTTGCCTGTTGCCTGAAGAGACTGGAGGAATGGATACATGTTTAAATTCTTTTTTTTTTTTTTTTTGAGACGGAGTTTCGCTCTTATTACCCAGGCTGGAGTGCAATGGCGCGATCTCGGCTCACCGCAACCTCCGCCTCCTGGGTTCAGGCAATTCTCCTGCCTCAGCCTCCTGAGTAGCTGGGA